TTCCTAAATGTCTGTAGAATGATCTGGAGCTGTATGAGAACAAGTGTCAGAGCACATAGACTCATACACACATGACACTATGAAACCTTCCTGGCACATAAGACAAGACACAAGGAAACAGAAGAGAAATTACTATGATTTAATGTTGAAAATTGTTGTCTATTGTTAATTATTATCATGGTGGTATCAGAATCGGTATTGTGTATCAAGTCTATTCATTAGTATCTAGTTTGAAATGTTAGTATGGTGACAACACTACATTTACAGTTTGCATCTCTAAAACCCAGTCAATATTTCTCTCTTTAATCTGCTGCTTCTGGGCCAAACTCTGCCCCCTCCCCCCTCCTCCTCTTCGGGTCTTTCTGGGTCTCTCTGTCCCTGTCTCTGCTCCTGTCACCGGGGCCTCTGCTCCTGCCGAGCTGGTTTGTCTCAGTGTCCGTCACAGCAGAAGGACACTGTTCTCGCTCTCACCTGCGTCGCCAAAGGAACGCCTGGCCTTTCACTCGCACCTCTTTTATTGTATGTAAATAAAAAAGCGGGAAAAAAGCGGGACTGGAACGTGCAAAACTCCAAAGCCTTTCTAAAGAGTTCCTGATGTATGCGACTGCAGCACAAAACTGCCTTCAAACCAATGAACTGGAATGGAGTTCAGATCTGAGAGAGTGAATGGCCAAGAAGAGAGAGATGGAGAGAAAGAGAGAGGGAGAAAGAGAGAGACGTATACAGAAAGTGGGGGAGGGGGGCAGAGAGAGACAGAGAGAGAGGGACAGAGAGAGAGACAGAAAGAGAGAGAGAGAGAGAGAGAGAGAGAGAGAGAGAGAGGACAGAGAGAGAGACAGACAGAGAGAGAGGGAGAGAGAGAGAGAGAGAGAGAGAGAGAGGGACAGAGAGAGAGACAGACAGAGAGAGAGAGGGAGAGAGAGAGACAGACAGAGAGAGAGAGGGAGAGAGAGAGACAGACAGAGAGAGAGGGAGAGAGAGAGAGAGAGGAGAGAGAGAGAGGGACAGAGAGACAGAGAGAGAGAGAGAGAGAGAGGGAGAGAGAGAGAAAGACAGAGAGAGAGGGAGAGAGAGAGAGAGAGGAGAGAGAGAGAGAGAGAGAAGCAGGAAGTCAGAGAGGCGGGGGGCAGAGAAAGTGAGACAGAAATTGAGAGAGTTGTAACGCTGAGTGAATGGCCAAGTGGAGAGAGCGAGACAGATGAATAGAGAGAAACAGAGAGAAACAGCAAGTCAGAGAGACAGAAAGAAGGAGAGAGAGTGAAAGACAGAAACAGGGAGAGAAAGAGAGAGAGAGAAACACATGACAGAGAGAGACAGACAGAGAGAGAGAGGGGGGGGCAGATAGAGACAGAGAGAGGAAGAGACAGATGGAGAGAGACACAGAGAGAAGAGGAAAGAGAGAGACACAACGGGAGAGGGAGACTAAAAGAAAGAGAGAGAGAGAGAGAGAGAGAGAGGGAGAGGAAGAGAGAAGAGAGAGACTGCGGCACAAAACTCTTCAAAATAATGAACTGGAATAGCGTTCAGTTGTAACACAGAGTGAATAGCCAACTGGAAAGAGAAAGGGAGGGAGAGAAAGAGGAATCCAGAGGGACAGAGAGAGAGAGAGAGAGAGAGATGGAGGGAGGGGGTGAGAGCAAAGGGACAAAGAGAGAGGGGGAAGAGACAGGGAGAAAGACAGAGTGAAACGGAGAGGGGGAGACAGAGTAAGGGAGTGAGAGAGATAGAGAGGGATAGAGAGAAACGCAAAACCAGAGAGACAGACGGAGAGAGAGATCGAGGAGGGAGAGGAAAGGGACAAAGAGAGAGGAAGAAGAAACAGGGACAAAGATAGACAGATAGAGAGAGAGAGAGATTGAGAGAGAGGGACAGAGAGAAACACAAAGCCAGAGAGACAGAGTGAGAGACTGAAAAGGTGTGAGAGAGGGGTGGGGGTGGGGGTGGGGATGGAGAGAGAGTGACAGAGACAAGAGAGACAGCCAGAGAAAGGGGAAGAGAGAGGGAGAGAGACATGAGAGATGGAGAGAGAGAGGCATAAAGAAAGTGCGAGCGAGAGAGACAGAAAGAGAGAGGGAGACTGCAGCACAAAACTCTCTTCAAACTAATGAACTGCAATAGTTGAGTTGTAATGGCGAGTGAATAGCCAACTGGCCGTAGCAGAGGTAACTCAGAGTTCAGTGTTCACAGTACGTGCCCACAGTGGTACTCGACCCATCTGTCATAAAAGAGCAGAGCGAATCTCCCAGAATCAGCCTTTCAAACAGGGAGGAGGCTGTTTCAGGACTCTGGCAGATACAGCAAGGAAGCAATAAATTAAGCGAAGAGGGAGTGCAAATGAGGAGAGAAGCCAGCAAGATGGTGGAGGATTTTGATAGCCAATCTCTGTTTTTGTTTCAAGTTGTTTAGGAAGGAGATATCTGAGCCAAGTGTGCGTTTGATTTGGACGAAGAAGCTGCTAAAGTTAAGCTAACGCACATGAAAAAATATCGAGGTTGTAGGAGTTGAAATATAAAGGAGGGTTTATAGCTGCACTGTGTTTTTCAATAAAAACTATGTTTGTGCAGATACAGTATTACTGCTGTGGTCCTGGTATGTGCTGTCTGTTACCTCTGTTGCTGTTTGTAATGTCCTTACCACTATGGATATCTTTTTATTATTGCAATATGATATACAGATCCACAGGGGCGGTGCCAGGGGGGACCTGAGGGGGCACTAGTCTGACCTACAATGGCCAATGCACCCCCATAACTCCACCAAAGATTTTCCCCCCATGTTCATAGAACATTCACTCTGAGACTACAATGAAACAATAATTCCACATTAGGTTTTATAAATCGCTACAGGGGTTTACTACATGACCACACTGCACGACGGCACTGACGTCAACATGGATGTTATAATGTTCTATTATAACAGAAAGTCAAATGCCCTAAATAAATAAATAACAAACAAATAAATACTTTTTTTTTATTTGGTGTCACCAACAAGCTAATGATTGTTTACAGTATTATTACTGTAAACTGTCTAACTGACCCACTACACTTCTAATTGACAAACTTGGTAAGATGTTGTGAAAATGAAAAGCTTTTTGAGCTAGAACAATTTCTGTAGTCACAGTAGTTGCACAAAGTGAGCATGACACTTTGATACAGCTCCACCCTTTAACGAGGAGACTAGGAGCTGTTGATTCCTGTGGTAATGGAATAAATTAAAGAGACAGTGACATTTAACACCAACCAAGTAAAAATATACTCACTGTGAGTCATGGTGAAAATGTGTGTGACCATGAAGATAGCGGAAATTAGCAACAATTTAACAAAAACACAACAGCAAATCTTGTATGAAATACACAGAGATCGACTGATGTGTTGTTGTTTTTTTCCTTGGCAAATGTCTACACCAGCAGCCTTCATAACTTACTTTGCAGTGACATCACACTAGGGGCGTTCTACATGTATCTCTATGTAGTGGAATGTTCATCGGTTACCATGGTGACACAGTGCACACACTGGCACAAACATGACCCAAAAAGTTTGAAGAAAGTTCTGTATTATTAAGTCTATAATACAAAAAAAGGATTTAAACAACAAGGACATTTTCAGGAGCCTGTGATCAATACAAACATCCATGATCCTTTCACGTGTTTGATTTTCAACTAAAAGGTGAAAGTGACTAACACAAAAACTGTGACTGCAGTTTTATGTGTGACAAATTCCTGCTAAGTCAGTATTTTCTGGTTGTGTTAAACAAACCTCAGAAGCTCAGAAGTCTAACTTGAGTTACACAGCTTCTAACAGAGTAGTGCTTTCAGTTAGCATCACACCCCAGGGAATGTTGTATGTAGGGGCAGAGACAGAGAGATGAAAGGAGAGACGGGGATAGAGACAGAGGAGACAGAGATGGTCAGAGACACACAGACAGAGAGAGAAGAAGATGAAAGCAGAGACAGAAGACACAGAGAGACAGACAGAGAGATGAAGGGAGCTAATGGGATCCATATACCATATTTTCCAGACTATAAATCACATTTTTTGGGTAAATTTATTTGATGAAATCAGAGACTGAGAACAGACATTTCATCTTCAAAGACACTCACATATGTCACATGAACAGTTCTTCAGATAACTATAGCATAAACAACAGAACAGAACAAGTTTACCAAACTCTCCATCTCACTCCAAATCACTAAATCCATTCAATTCTTCATCCTCAGTGTCACTTCTGAGCAACTCTGCCAACTTGAGTTAAATCTAGCTTTTAGTCCACAATTTGCTTTTTTGTTTTCTTCATTACAGTTCAAGTTTCCTCCGCTTTTCTCCAGCCCCTCACAAGTTTCTCATTCACTCCAAAATCTCTTTCTGCTGCTTGATTGCCATTTTCAGCTGCATATTTCAGTACTTGCAGTTTGTAATCTTCAGAATATGATGAACAGTTTATTGCCGTGTGATAAAATCAGTTCTGATGTTAAATGAACATTAGTGAGTGGGATTCGTCTTCATGACCTGTATGTGGTAAATGCAGGTGAGTGCGTAAAAGACAAGAAGAAACATCTCAAACTTCAGTAGCCGCACATCCACTCATACCTGATCCATACACCTATCCCCGCCCCCGAGAGAGTCTGAAATCTACTGAAATCCTACAACACACTGACATGATACAGACAGAACAGAGACTCTTTCAGCAGGAGACATGCACAGTAGAGCCAAGTGACGGTGGTGCAGGAGTCACAGCAGATACTGACACACAAGACTAGAGCCTCTTGAGGCTGTCTGTGAAAATAACAAAGATGTGGAATTACATATTTGAATATAGAAGTCGCACCTGAGTATAAGTCGCAGGAACAACCCAAACCATGAAAAAAGTGTGACTTATAGTTTGAAAAATATGGCAATTAAACAAATAAACAAATCTCCATTCCATATCCAAGCATCTGACAAACCCTCCACCAGAAAACTTACACAGTGCACCTTTAACAAAGCAGTAGTAAACTTGTCTCGTACCTTTGTTGGGGTCTGCTGTGGGCGCTGCAGGCAGGGGTCTCTGAGATCGAGGCTGCGTCGTGGGGACACTCATCTTGACAGGTCCCACGAACTCCACATACGTCCCAGGAAAATCACCTCTCTGCTTGGACCTTTCGTTGTAGCCCAGAAGCCAGCCCAACCTCTCCGGCAGCTCTTCACAACCTTCCTGGTAGCTTTCAGAGGACAGCAGCGACGCCTTGCTAACCGTGAGCAGATCTCCAGGCAGCAGATCCAAGTCTTCCTCCTGATCTTTCGTGAACTGATAGAGGGCGCGGTACTGGAAACCTTCAGCGGCCATTTTGTGAGAGAAGCGTGTCACTCAAGACTGCAGAGTAGAGTATTTAAGATGGTGGGCAGGGATTGCTCTTGAAATCGTCTTTACCCAACTCTAAGAAGCATCTTTAAGTGAAAAAAATGATTCAAGTCTCTCTTGCAATCGCTATTTTAAACCTTGACGTTGCCTCCTGACGCCATTTCGTGTGGGAATCAAAATAGCCACCAGAAGAGCGAAGGTTTGAAGGAGCACAGATCTCTTGTCCTTTCAGCTCAGGACTCAGCCGAAGCTAAGGAGCATTTCTAAAAGAGATTGAAAGAGTTGTTCAAACCTGGCCGGTGTTGGCTTGGGCTACTTTTCTCAGTTTGATGCCCCGGTTGAGCCAGATAATGGAGCAGAGAGAGTGTGTTGGCAACATGCTCTTGTAGCACAGAGGAAGCCTGCTCAGTGTCAGTGGAGCGGCTGGGGGAGGATTTCGTTTAGTTTTCAAATCAGAGGGTCTCCCACATGACTGCGACCCACCTGGAACAGAAAAATCACAACAAAAACGTATTAAGTCAAAGGGTAAAGTTGCGTTGTGTAACTTTTCTGGTGGAAAAACTTCCGTCACCTGCTTGTTTCTATGGATGTGTCATTGCTCGGCTTAGAATGTTCCACAGTATAGCATTAAACAGGTCTACCTTACATTTATAACATTTTATAGTTTTATAGCTCAGAAATACCTAGAAAAACAGACATTCTGACTATGCACGGGGTCGCTTCTCCACAGATCTGACCTGTAACTTGGTTTGGTCTCCAAGAAAATGAAAGAAGATTTAATGCCATACTGTGAAATATTCCAGACAAAGCAATGACATCTCCATTAAGAGAAGCATTTGACAGACCCCCCACCAGAAAAGTTACATAGTGCACTTTAAATGAATTTTGAATGATATGACACAATACTGAGCTCCTGCCAGTCCACCTCTGCTCTGAGAAAGCACTCTGTTTTTTTTTTTTTAACTAGAGACTGAATTATATTTGTATCTGAAATAAAGAATAAATAAAAAAATATATGATAAAATAAGAAGCAAGAACTATTTACTTCTTGCTTCATACTTTATTTTATATATTTTATTCTTTATTTCAAAAGGCAAATAAAACAACTGTCAACAAAAAGAGCAGTAGATAAAGTCAAAAAGAGTGGGGATGGGTAAATTCGGAAAGTGATTTTGATACTATCTGTTTACACCCAATCAACCAACACCAGTGCTGAGAAAACAGCATAAAACAAAAATAAAATAAGACACAGCTGATACAAATGTGTTACGTAATGTTATTTATCTCTTAAGTATCTACACACCAGCTTTGTATAAATTAAAATTCTTATGAGACTAAGACCAACAATGATCACTAAAGAGAGAGAGTCACAATGAAATCAGATGATTTTGCTCTTTTTTTTTTTTTTTTTTTTTGGAAAGAAATTTGTAAATGTGATATTAATGACATTTTGAGTGCACATGTAACTGGAGCCACTGTTAGTTAGAAAAACAGACTGAGGAACTTTGTACTAAATAAGCTTCATCTAAGCAAAATGCTGTTAATTCTGCAAAAAATGCCTAAAAACTACATAAACCACACCACAATCTCATGCAAAGCCCATTTCCTGATATAGATATAGAACTCTTTTCTGTCAAAGCAATTCGCACTTAGTAACAGTTTCGAAAATGACGCAGAGGTTCACTGATTGGCTGAATGATCATCCAATCGCACGTCCCCCTGGAAATTCAATGCAAATACAGTGACCTGATAACTTGTTTACAAGACCATCAACAATACAATGAACAATTCAGCCTTTTGTAATCCGTATATTCGTAGATTTCAGCTCTTTACGATATTTTCCATCTTTAACGGTAAATAGTCAGATTCGTATTCAAATCACGGTAGCGATGTTCAAGAAAAAACAACAAAAATAACAAAAATGTTTAAAAAAAATTCAGTTACAAAACGTCTCTTGGAGTTTGGAATTTTGCATTTGATCTAAATTATATCAAAAAGTCACCAATTCCAATTTACCCAAGTTGTGCAGTAGTTTAAGAAACAAGCTAAAATTAAAATATTAAATTGTTGTGATAATGGTAAAAAAAAAAAATGCTAATGAAATATTGACGTTAAAACATTAATAAATACATACATTAACGTTTTCCGAGCGTTATATTTTTGATGCCGCATTGCAAAACAAACCCAGAAACAGCTGCGAAAATCCGCGAGTTAGCATAAATGTTCTGGTTGGTGTCTTGTCTTGGCAGTTGCCCGACCATTCGAACGCGAAACCAAAATGACAACGTTTTCAAATTTGTTTCATATTAGCGAGTACGGTTTGAGTGTGTGCGAAGATTGAAGCGGTACACGAGAAAATGGCGAAGTATGTCAGTTTGTTTTTTCTCAGGACACAGCTAACGTCCCAGTCTGCTGATCTGCTGCGTCATTTTCAACACAGCCTCCCTCAGCTTCCAAATACACCAACGCCATCCATCGCTCTTCACAGCCCCACCAACTACTTTACAACAAAACTCTCGAAAATGCACTCTGTTTGAGATCTCTGACTCCAAAAACCATGATTTGGAAATTACAGCGTCATTATTGTTGAAATAAAACATGTACCGTTGTTAAATCTTACGTTAAAGATTATACAAATGCGTTTGGAAAATGTTTGGAATCTGTTCATTAAATTATTTTCGATTCAGATGAAGTTAAGTGTCAGATCATATGAAGTGGAAACTGATTTGGACTCTGTATTCGAACAAAACCTTTTAAAATGCTTAAATTATCCAATTAAAATCAATGTTTTGGATAATCCCATTGCATATTAGTCGTAGGTCATAACCAAAATTCACCATTCACCAATTCTTCCTCACCAGGCCAAACAAAAGTACCCGCTTCTGTGTAATTTGTATTAAAAATGCTGACCTTAGATACACTTGCAATAAACCCAGTGATGTTCAGATATGGAACCGGACAGCCCTATTTCGCGAGCGTAGAGAGGTTTCACTTTATGTTATATTTATGCACACATACTCATTTCGTACCAGATTGCTGAAATATTCACCAATGAAAATGTTATGCAATCTGAGAAAAGAAAAAAAAAGCTGCTGCGTTGAGGTTCAAATAAGGTTATAGCCCGAATTAAAAGCAAAAGATAGTCCGATATTACATCTTCAAACTGTGCAATTGTTGATTTGTGGACGATAATGCGGTTTCGAACTATGACATGAGCTTGTGTGGAAACAAAAAACATAGAAGGGTGGTAGATAGACACACATTGCAAGCGAATTAGTTCAAGTTTAGGTCTGTTCATAAAAATGCGTACAAGAAAATATCTGGGGCAATTGCCTTAAAATCTACGAAGGCCTGGCTTGCAAGGCCTGATGTTGTGCAACCACTTTATGCAAGAATCGGACGAAAATACAAGCTGAATAGTCTCCAAAAAAAGCGTAAAAATTGCACCTGCGTGTCTATTTTGCTCTGTTAAAAGCTTTAGTGCATGCTTTGAAGTCTTATCTACATAATCTTTCTCCATTACGACGTTTGACAAGTCGAGAGAGATTTCGGAATAAAAAAACGGGAGCTGTTGTATTTTTGGAGGTTCATGGTGCTGGGATGCGATATTGAACTCACCCCTTCACTTTGGGCACGGGAAGCTCCGAAGCTGGACCAGCCTGGAGAGAGGAGCTAGACTCTTTCGCTGCTTACGTCCCCCTTCCAGAACTGAGGAGATGCCAGGCAAGACACGTGGCACTGGCATACCCAACCACAGCCCGCAATCCTCACACCACCATCACCCACACCCCCTCCTCTCCGAAAGCCCAAAAACTCCCAGCCCTGCCCCCCGAAATCCACTCGACAACTCTTCCCCCCTCCCTCTCTCTTCCTCCTCTTCTTCTTCTTCTTCTTCCTCTTTTGCACACATTGAAAAAAAAAGTCCGGTTTGTTTACAGCCATTTATTTCCAAGCGAAGTTCCATGTCCGATCTGGAAGCACAGTCCTGTCTCATCCTTTTTCATTACTCAGATCGGAGAAAGTCATTTGAGGACGAGGTGCACTTCTGTCCGTCTTTTTGCGTTGTGGCTGCTGCTGCCGTTTCAAGATGACAACTGCGCAGAAAGTATCCAAATCCATCTCTTTTTGTACAGCGTAGAATGAGAGAGAGAAAGTCAGAGAAGAGCCTTGTCAGCGTGCGTCTGTGCAGTTTTGGTACCAGCGGAGTGTGGAGCTGCTCAAAGGCAAAGCTCAGGAAAATAATTAATGAATTCAACAGCAAGTAACTCACTGTTGCTACAGCGAGGGAAAGGCTGTCCTCCGTTCTGATTGGCCGACGCTCCGCCCATGTGCTCTCCACTCACAGGGAAGCCGGGCAAATCAAGGAATGCTTCTAATATTAGAAAATGTATCTAGGCAGCCGTCACATGTCAGGTGTAAACAAAAAGCGTGATTTTGAGCAGATGGGGTGTTTTTTTGTCCTGTTTAGGGTGAGTTAGAATGGACATAGGTTTGGTGTAAAGGATGAACAGAAGGAGATGGGAGAGAAGAGTTTATAGTGAGGGGAAACGGTGCGTGTTTGTGATTGGAGAGGAGACGGTGAGTCAGGACTCGGTCGTGCAATAGGATCAGAGCAGAGGGTCTGTGCTTTTAAGTGAAGTCAAGCAGATTTGTACTGAACTTCTGTGCAGAAAATGAAAAAATAAAGAGAATAAAAATGCTATAGTTTACCAATTCAGTACTGTCACAGTGTAAATATATGTTTTATGTAAGATCATGTCAAACTCTGATCATTTCTATGATTATTTGACAACTCAATGAGATGCAAGAATTTGTTTTGTTTTGTTGTGTATGTATTTTATCCAACCGCACTGTCTGTAAAATGGTAAGCTACAGGGCTGGGACAAGATCTCGTGCCACAAGATCTCACGAGACAAAATTGCCATGAGTTTGGGCACACGAGAAAATGATCTTGTGAGATTTTTTCCCCATGTTTTTACATTTGGATTGGATCC